ATGTATACTAACCTCTAACTGAAATTTAGCATTAACTCCAATTATGAGTGAATGTAGACAGCAAACCACATCAAAGCTGGCGACATTTGACATAGGCTTCCACAGACTGCCAAAGGGGACCCATGGCATGAAAAGGGCTAAGAAACCCGGAAATCTTTCTGGGCCTTCATCTAGGCCAAATGGGAATGCTGGTTCCAACTTCACTTCACTTACCATTAGGAGGGAACTAGAATCTAACACCTAGCATTTATTGAGCCTTTACTGCGCGTTAGCAGCTATGCTAATGCTTTACCCTTTTGTCTACAAAAAAAACCAACCACCTTAGATTGAAAGAGGTCAAGTCACTTGCCTAAGATCACCCAGCAGGTAAGAGCCATGGCTCCAAAAACCTTGCTTCTCACACCCCTCTATTCTCCCCATCATTACACGTTATTATCACTTATTCACTATATTTTAAAGACCTCATGTGTATTAGGCACAATGTTATTTCAAGTAATTGTTTTTTTCAGTTTTCCATCTATACAGTTGATCTATGCTGTTGCACAGAAATATAATGAAGTTGAAAAAAAATGGTCAAATGAAAGTGCTTGATGCACATATCCAATTGCAGTCTTTAAAATAGTACTAGAAATTTACAGATACATACAGAAGTTTCTAGTTCACCCTGTTGATATTTGTTAACATGTATTATGTTGGATACTGGCTGAAATGGAGATCTGAAATATATTCTGAATTAGATATCCTATAAGGCTTTGTGTCTTATTTAAATCCCATAGGACACTGATATTTTTGTTTTATAAGGCTTAGAGTTAGGTGACATACTCCAACCCACTTTCTTTGGGCTGTGGTTCCAGTGTCACTTCAGTTCTCAAAGCCCCGCAGTACTCTTCCGATATATGTCACACTTGCACCATCCAGTGGTCAGTCTTGTTGTGGGGAGTGGTCTGTTATGTTAGGCTCAAAATCTCTGCCATGCTGAATAGGATCAGATCCATATGTTTGCAGCTTAGGGGTGAGCCCAAGAGTCCATAACCAACTTTATGCAGTCACTTCCTGGAGTATCTTTTTCTCTACAATCTTCCCAGTATTTTCCAGATTCATGGGAATCTTCTTTTCCCATTAGAAAGCTGGGGCTTATAACTATGCTCTGCTATCACTTGCATAACTGTACCCACATCTGGGGCAGAGGAGCAGAACAGAGAGGAAACAATCAACAGGGTTGATCCTCCTTAGAACCACAGCTCTCCAGTACAGAGAACCGGGTTCTCCCTGAGAGTGTCCACTCCCGAGGCTTTGACTGCCACAAGCTACTAATTCCACCGTGGAATTGCTCGAGGGGTGGGGTGTGACAGAACAGAAAAAAGAGAGAGAGGGGGAATTCCATACTCTGAGCATTAGGAACTGTCAGGAAAACCAGAGTTGGACAGTAGTCAAAGCGGTAAAAACAGATTTTTATTCAGGACTATTGCAATAGGGGAAGATAGAGCTCAATATAGAACCAGGCTCAATGCCAAATACAGCATGGGCAAGCGGAAATGTATAGCTAAGGAGCAAGAAGGGAGTCTGGATAGAAAATGAAGAGCAAGTGTCAGGGCTAAGGGGGGTTCTGGCTAAAGCGGTCTAACAGGATTCTCCTGCAATCAGGCGGGGGTGACCAGACTCCCTGGGGATGGGGGAGGATGAGGGACCTGAGCAGTTATCCAGGATTGGACATGAGGGTGGGGGTTTGGTTAAACTGAGTTAGCAGGGGGCTTACGAAAACTAGACTTTACAAGGAAGTGCACAGAGGAGCCCAGGAGAAGGTTTGGGAGCCTGACTAACGTTTGGTCAAGTAAAGAACCTGTGCCAGAACTTTGCCTGCTCCTTGAGTCAGAATTTGAGGTTCTCCCGGAGCTCTCACTGTTAGGGTCCCCTGAAACTTACTCCCAGGTTTCTGGTATGTTGAGCTTAGGTCACGGAGTATTGGAAGAAAAATGGTGGACTCACTGCTAATTTGGTGGGACTTCAAATTACCATCTTCTTCCCCAACCTGCCTTCTATTTACTTGCAGATTCCTCAAGTAGGTGTTCCGTGTATTCTGTCCAGGGTTAGGCATTCCATGGGAGAGACAGGGTGAGGCATATTTACGCCATCATCTGACTTTAATAGTATAACCTTTTGAACTATTTAATGTACATTTCTGAAGGCTGAGATCATTCTGTGAAGATCTCAATTCGAAGGCTGCTGATAGGATTGACCAAATTTTACCTTGACTCCATGTAAGCTAGTAAGATGATGTTTCCAACTATTTACACCCCCTCTCAAAATAGCTCATTTACAAATGAATAGATGTTAATGACTGGGAAATTATGGGAGAAGCCTAAGGGAAATTTTTATTATAATCCATTACATAGGAATCACTGTTACAGATTATATTATATATTAAGCCCTATTCATCATCACTAATATGGTTTATCAGTTTTGTACAACTTACTGTGTTAAGATTGTTACTAGTGTTTGATGAGCACACTACACATAACAATGTTACATGCAATTCCATGGGTTGTATTTTTTTAAAGAATAAGGTGATAGGATCTAAACTCATTCATTCTTCCAACAATTTTTTAATAAACATCTGCCATCTGCATTTTGCTTTACTTAGTTTGGGAGTCAGGCTGCCCTAAGGCCATATCCTGGAACCTCCACTTAATTATTTGATGATGGGACAATTATTTATAACCTCAGAACTTCTTTGAAATATTATAAAAAATATTAACTTTCAAGGTGGTTGTATGTAATCTTGTATGAACTTTCAAGATTAATGTGTTACCACAGTGCCTGAGATGGAGAAGGTACATAGTAAATTATAGATCTGATGGAATAATTAAATCATTAAAATAATTAAAATTAGTCATAATTAACCCAAGTAGTTATAAATTAAGGACAGTTTTTTTAGATGATAATTGCAAATAATGTTTGTTAAAGCTTAGATAGCATCATGAAATGCTGTCAGTAAACATGTTTAAGTTCTGTCTAAGAGACAGTATGGTCTCTTAGAATGTCTGGCTGTTATTTTTTTAGATAAGAAATCCTCTTCTGTTATCTGCTGGTACTCAAGTGCCTACAGCAGTGGAGACAATCCAGGCCCTCTCCGAGGAAGCTGCCAGTTTGACTAACAAAGTTCAAACATATTTAAACTATCAGGATTGTTTGGATGATGCCCAATCTCATGTACAGTCTCTTAATGTGGAAGAGATAACGCAGATTGTGCTGTCAGAGATCTCTGACATTGACTGTGACTTAACCTTGAGGAAATTATTATGGGATGCCCAAGAGGAATGGGGAAAGCTGTTTCAGGAATGGAGGAATAGTACTCTTCACAGCATTGACATAGAATCAGTGCAGACACAGGTTTTAAAATGGACGAACATAATCCTTGTGCTAGAAAAAGGTAAGAGTGTCTTTCTCAAGCTTCCCCCCAAAGATGACACACAAAATGGCCTCTGGGCCTGCAAGATCATTGTCCTCAGCCGTGTTTCTTTACCTATTTATTGCCCTGGGATGGCTGTTCATGACTGGAGAGACAGTGCAGGAGTAGAGGTAGGATCGTTTCCTGAAGCAAGAAAGGTGAAAACTTGGCCCCAGTTTTTTTTCTTAAGCAATAACAGTTTTTGTATCCTTTAAAAGTTGGTTTCTGAGGTAGAACCCCAGACTCACCGGGATTCTGGCTCTGAGGGCCAGAGATGTTTTGATGATAAGTCGCCTCCCCCATCCCCCCTCACTCTTCACCCAAATCGTTAGGATGTATGCCTATGGTAGTATCCTCTGGGCAGTGGGGAAACAGCTAGAGTCATTTCGAGAGGTTTCCCTTCTGCTAATCATCAAATGTGAAATCTTGTCAACACAGAGATGCTGTTCCCGTGAGCAATTCGGCAAGATCGTATCTTTTCCAAAAGGAAAGTTTTATTTCACTTGGCAAGAGAATGTTTTTCTTTCTAAATTCTTCCCTTGTCTCTCAGCTGTACTTCAAGCTATAATTTCCTTTCTAGAAAAACACTTTGCTTGTTTTTAAATTGTACAAGAACTACAACAGTATCACAAAAAGTTAGAAAAGAGAAAAATTAGAACAAATCACCCATAGTCTCACTGCTTTAAGATAACATTTTGTGCATTGTCTTGATATTTTGTCACACATCAGTTTCATAGAACAGTATGTAAGTAACAAGTAGACAACACCTTTTTATCCATAGTTTAATAGAAAAAAATCATGCTATTTGCCAACGTATATAGACTTGCAACAACCAGTTATTCTTTTGTCTTTTTATTTAACCAGGTCTTGAAAAATAGTTTATTAGTCAGCCTTGCTTTATAAAAGAAGCCCATCTATACAAAATTGGACATGTAAGAATATGGGTGTAGTTTTCCGTTCTCCTGAGTCCCCAACTTTGCCTAGTCCTCTGCCTCCTTCCTCTTTTTTTAAAAAAGTTGAGTAAAACGGTCAGAAGGATTGAACCTTCAGCTGCATAGGTTTTGAGTTCTGTGCCTCAGTGGCTCGTCAGTGCCAGAGGACACACCAGTGCTGGTCTGTGGCTAAGTTTTTACCTACATTTCCTACAGTTCAGTGTTAAAATGTTTTCCTTATGAAATAATAGTGATGGATTTTTTCCCTCTGATGTTCTTCCTTACTGAGCAGAATTTAAAAGCCCAGTACCTCTAACTGCCTTTTGACTGCATATATGTGTACCTTCTGTCTATGTATCTGTCTTATCAGTGACTCCCTAGCATCAAATTTTCCAAGATATCTTGGCTCTGATGATCTCAGGTTTTAATCTCCAGTCCTGATAACTATTTCTCTTTATTTTCATCTGTAGTTGATTTTTTTTAAAATTGGGGAATAGTGTATCTTTCTAGGACTCATCAGCTCCAAGTCAGGTAGTTGTTTCAATCTAGTTGTGGAGGGCACATCTCAGTGGCCCATGCGGGGATTGAACTGTCAACCTTGGTGTTATGAGTACTGCGCTCTAACCAACTGAGCTAATTGGCTGCCCCCATAGTTGATTCTCATGGGAGGATGATATTAATAAAACTCATTGTTTTAGTACAGACTAACAATGGATAAACTAGCATTACATTAAATAGCAATTTTGTTTTCTGGTTGAAAAGATATGATGGACATATTGTAAGCCTACTGGCCCATTGCTATTTATAGGTTTACCTAAAAACAGCATGGTAACACATCTTCAGCAGTCGGTGACAGACTTTAAACAAGAGCTGCCTATCATCATAGCTCTGGGAAACCCCTGTCTCAAGCCAAGGCATTGGGAAGCACTCCAGGAGATTATTGGAAAGTCCGCGTCTCTTGATAAAAACTCTACGGTAGAGAATCTCCTAGCGCTCAAGGTAAGTAAAAATAATTTGAAAAAAATAGGTTGAACTAGCAGAGGGGCTAACTTTAAGTGGGCAAGTAAATCCATAAGGAATAGGAATTACAAAAAGAAGAAGTTCATAGAATGCCTGGGGAAGTGGAAGTACATTAGTAAATGATAGGTGGTAGGAAATTATGTTTAATTGGCCATATTGGTTAAGCTGTTCATTGTGCCATCATTCTAATCTAGGTGATTAGACACAGTAACACTGGTTTTCACGTGTGACAAATGAAATTAGTGTTTTATTATTTAACAGTGCTACCTACTTATAGAGAATATGTTTTATTGGAATAGAAAAATCAAAACTATATTCCATTTTATATAAACTGAAAAACATATGAAGAGTATGTTAGGATAGCCCTATCAATACGTTAATATTATATTTTAAATACATAATTAGCAACTATTTGATTTGCCATGTAGATTTTGTCATAAAAATAGAATTTTTCCATGTTTTTTATGGTTGTAATTTTCTATTTTCATGCCTAATTTACAATAAGCTTCATTTATGTTTCATGTTTCAATGTTGACAGTGTCTACATGTCAGCCTATAATTTTCTACTAAATTACCTGTTGTGATGAGGAAATGAAGGGAAATTAGAAGAATTTAAAAAGAAGAATTTTAGAAGACAACTATAATTGATTTTTAAAATTAGATTATTTTATATCTCTAGCCCTAACCTCAACCTCCCTCCTGAACTCACATATCTAATTTCCTAATTCAATATCTCCACTTATATGTCTAAGAGATGTCTCAAAATTAATTTCCAGAAATGCACTTCTCATTCTTCATCTCCCAAATTCTACTTTTTCTCTCTCTTCCCCGTTTCAGCTAAAGGCATTTCTATTATTTTTCCAATTGCTTAAGCTAAAAATCATGAAATAATCTTTGGATCTTCTCTTATTCTCTTACTCCTCATCACATCTGAATCTGTCTTGTTTTCCTGGATCTTGACCAGAGCCTCCTAACTGATCAATGTGCCCAGAGTGAATTCTGCAAAATATCTAGATAATTTCAGAACATAGAGGTCAATGCCAACAGCTAAGTTTATTCAAACCAGCATCCCAAAAATCTGGCAGAATTTCCACGATATTTTTATTTTCAAAGTCTTGGGTTATTGGAATCATTCCTAGGCAAGTTAGCTAAAAGGTGAAATTTGGCAGACTAAGTGTTGCAGCAGGCAATCAAAGTTAGGGTACTTTGGGGATCAGCTGGTGGCCTGCACTGGGTTGATCTCAAAGGATTCCAGTGTCCTATCCTTCTATTTCCCACATGAACAGCTAGCTTAAAAAGGAAGTCCCACACAGTTTTAGGAGGATCCAAATTAAAATAACGAAACATTTGAACAAAAATGAACTAGGTCTTCAGCCTCTGAAATACTGTAGCCAGGAGTTAGAGGTTAATTAATATAGTAGTCAGAAGGGATGAGCAGACAATCAGCCGGTAATCTTAAGTAAACTCTTAGGAGTTCCTGGATGATTTTGATCATGCTGTAGAAATTCAGCAACTTGTCCAGTATAATGTAAGTGCCTAGATGGACAGGATTTGGCCCAGAAACTCAGCCTCCATTTACCATAAAGCATGTATATCATGATTTTGACCCAGAGATGGTAGTCACGCTACAAGACTGTCCAGGACAGGCTATGATAGAAGTTCATTTGTGGTCCTATCAAATGAATAAATTAGGATGTTGTATAACAACCATCCTGCCCAAGATGTTATGCAGGCTCTGAAAAGCCTGTGACATGAAAAGCATGTCACAAAGTAAGTAAAGAGGAAGAGGTCAATAGTATGCATAAGAAGAATGCAATCACTTTATGGTTGATCATTTTCACTTTAGAAAGCCATGTGCTTTATAGTAGAGGCATATAATTGTTATAGGCATTAAGATTCATCTGAAACTTCCCAGATATTACCAAGTCAGTTGGGCGATCTGAGCATTTGGTGATCTGGTCTCCAACTTTGACAGTAAAGAAAGAGCTAAGACCCACTTGGTTGACATTATCAGTGTCTGCATTTCATACTTAGCAATTTCAGAATGTCAGCATTAGGCACAGACCTCTTTCTTCAGCGTAGAAACTTCGTGGACCTGTGGTTCTTTATCTGCTTTTGGCTGAATAATCTATGTCAAAGTGCAGGCCTCTCCCAAAGCTGTTTTTAAGGCCATAGCAGTCAACCGATTTCCCCATCTTATACCTATCTTTGACAGACACATAAGAGAGATGATGAAAACTAGTCTTATTTGTTCATAGTCCCCACTAAGCTGCATTAACAAAACATAGGGATTAGGCATCACTCTTTAGCCCCATGGAAATGGCATATGGGAACAGTGGTTGATTCTTCTTTCAGGGATAAAATCAACCCAGCTAGTTCATTCTAACGTGGAAATGAGAAGCTCTCTGAGTATCTCTCTTACGGTGAGTGACTCTGGAGATCTTATATCAGGATCTTGTCCTGTGGGAATTGGCAGTCAGTGCACAAGGAAAGAAGTCCTATGTAAACTTCACTAGTGTATTTTGAGAAACACTTATCCTCATTGAGATGTGGCAAAGAAAGGGAAGCCATGGGAAGGTGGGTCCATTAGAGGTATATTCTCTCAGATGATTACATCCCAAGGATTATTATAGAAAGTAAAAGCATGTCACAAAGCAATTAAAGAGTTGACATCAGTGCAGAGAAAACAAAGCTGAAGGAAATAATACCACCTGCACATATACAGAAGGTGCTACTAACTCTTCTTTATACTGACTAGAATCAGAGGAAATAATCATTGTGGTTAGAAATGTTCACTGAGCATGAAGAATGTGAAATAGTTAGGATGATTAAAAACCAAAAAGGGCTGTCATGAAGGTTAAGCCATGAAGTCCCTGGTTAGGATGTAAACCTAACTGGAATCAGAGCTTCCCGTTTCAATGTACCAAGAATTATGTGCTCCACTGGATATTAAAAAATATTTCCTTTTTCGTTTTAGATGTTTCAGTATGAAAGTGAAATAAATGAAATATCAACCTCAGCAACTAACGAAGCTGCTCTTGAAAAAATGCTGTTTAAGGTTATTGAACTTTGGCACACAACTCCTTTACATTTAGTTCTTCATCACACCGAGACTTACTCTACCTTAATCATTTCATCTTTAGATGACATACTTGCTCAGTTAGAAGAGTCTCAAATTGTACTTGCAACAGTTAAAGGATCTGCCTATACCGGTCCCATTAAGGTAAATATTATGGCAAACGGAAAATGTTTTACTTGTCTGTAGTTTTATTGATCATTTTAATTTTTGCATTCTGCAAGGTGTTGAATTATATAAATCATGCAAATACTTCCATAGAAACGAGATGGGATATTTAGTAATTAAAATACTAAAAATAACTTTTTATGGAAACGTTATTAATTGCTCATGAGGAAATGTCAGAAAGTTTAATTTGGGCAGACATGATAAATCCTCGTATAGATAATATAAAAACATGACCGTGTGAGCCATGCTGCTGCAGATACCCACAGTGCTGGCAGTGCCCAGGCCAAAGCCACTGCCTTGAGGTTCTGCTTGCTGAAGCGAATGCTTCATTTCATTTCATTTCATTTCATGTGCTGTTGCTTTTAAAGGTTAATCATACCTCTATACCAGTTTGTTCCTGCCATTGCTTCTAGAACAAATAGCAGCCTCCACATCTAATATACTTAGGAATTAAACTATGTGGTCAGCTTGTATTCGGTATTCTCTGATAGTCCCTCTCTGGGCAGCTGCACATTCGATAACATAGCTAAGAATCATTTAAAAACTTCAGAAAGCTCAGCAAGATATGTAATAATATAGAAATATTTAATAGTAAAATTAACAAAATTGATTTTAGACTAACAGAAATATGTACTCAAACGGAATTTACATTATTTGCAAACCCAAACATTTAGGGAAAATGTCAGTTCATTGGAAGTTAGAAAAAGAAACTAAATTATAAAAAAAGGATAAACCAAATAGACTCTGTTCTCTAACCACATACAGTAAAATAAAAAATGAACAGCAGAAAAGTAGCAAAAAAGAGACAACAACAAAATCACCCACAAAAAATGGAAATTCAAAAGCAACCATAAAAAAATACAGGAAATATCAAATTTTTTTAAATTAGAAATAAAAAGAATTATAAACCAAACTTTATCACAATAAAGTTGTTGGCTAGAACCCTATGAAAAGGAATATTTAGAGCACTAAAGACCTTTATTACAAATGGAATTTTCTGGTATTAAAATAATGAAGAAAACCCATGAATACCAACATACAACTTCTCTAAAAGACACAGGTTTTCAAAAAGCAAGTTACAGAAAAATGTGCATAATATTGCATTTATGTAAATTATTAAAGATATTACATGTATATATATGTACATGTCTGCAAAAATGTTTGAAGAAAGGAATGAAAGAATATACATACCCCAAAATACTTGTATATTATAAATAAGACAGAAAATTGGATGACCAAGACATCTCAAACTTCTCCCCCCAAAAAATATAATTAGATTTATATTTGTTTATGGACCCTCCACTAATTACGCCCTGTACATCAGTGACTGATAATCTCCTTTGATCTTGGTTTCTATGATATGACTCTTACAGAGTCATTTCATAGATTTAGATTTGTATGTGTGTGTTTATCATTGTAGGTTCTTGTGGATAAATGGGATCAAAACTTGACTCTCTTCTCTCACACTCTTGAGGAATGGATGAACTGTCAAAGAACTTGGCTGAACCTTGAACCAGTCTTTAACTGTGTAGAAATACAAAGGTAAAAAATTAAAATATGCCATATATAGATTTAAAAACAGCGTGGTGGGTAATTTATTTCCTGTCATCCTTGAGAAATTATTTCTCAGTGAGCACTCTAACACCTATATGAGCTTGAATCAGGCTGGGACTAGGGAGGCATGGGAGGGGGACATACAGGTAAGCAGAGTGCGTGAAACAACCAGACTGTACATCTTTGCAAATACTTCCCTTATTCAACGTCAGTAACAGCAGAAACAAAACTCCAATTAATATATCAATGGATTACTATGCCAGGTGTGGGTTTTGCCTCCCTTTTCCAAGGGGAGAAAATAATGATACTATTCTGTAAAGGAAAGTTTCTATACCTACGCTGAACCTGCTTTACATTTCCTTAGTCTCCAAGATTAGATAACTACTAATAGAACTTGAATTTTCTTATCCACACTGCCATACCCTTACTTGTAGGCCAGATGCCTTCTCTGTGATTCTCTTCATGTGACAGCACTATTCCTTCTTTAACACCCACATCAAATAGCTTCTTCTCCAAGGAACTCTCCCCAGATCTCACTTTTCTAGAATTTCAGTAGCCCTTTGTTTTAGCACATTTCCTAGGGCAAAAATCACTTCCACTTACTTTATGCAGACCTTGTCTGCATCTATCCTGTACCTCTCACTAAGTATAATCTTGTGAAATGATGGGTATAGATCTAATTTATCCTAGTATTTCCTACCATATACATCACTTATACACAATAGACATTCGAAAGATATCTTTATCAGCAAAAATGGAACATATCAAAGCCTTTTGTAAATTGAACAGTATTCTGTGGCAAAGCATTTAGATGATAGATTTTAACTATAATGCCTTCAAAAAATAAAATATCCCTAATTTTCTTTCTAAAGGCAGCTCCCCGCAGAAGCAAAACTCTTCTCTCGAGTGATTTCCATGTGGAAAGAAATAATGTTAAAAATACAGAACAAACTGGATGCTTTGCAAATAGCCACCTCTGCAGGAGTCCTTGAAATTCTGCAAAATTGCAATGTACATCTTGACTATATAAAGAAAAGTCTAGAGGTAAAGCTATAGCAGTCCTAAACTGGAGAATCATTTAATCTACAAAATGTAGTATAATGAACTACAGAAACTAATTTCAATGCAGATTTTCTTCTTTGCTTTAGCTGCCAACAATATTTCAAACTCTCACCATCTGTAGGGTTAATGAAAATGTTATCAAAAGGGAAAAAAAGGGATGGACCAATCTAAACAATCTTAGGCAAAGTATCAAATGTTTAAGCACCTCGGTTTCCTTATCTTTAAATTGGGATTCATGGTAGTCCCTACTTTGAGGGGCTTTGTGCGGAATGAGACAATGCATTTGAAACACAAGAGCTGGCACAAAGAAAGTACTTAATGGATATCATTTACATTAGCACTACTATTATTAAGTTATAAAATCAGTAAAAGTTCAAATTGAATATTTTGATGATTTTCTAAATTATTGATTCCATATATTTTTACATTGCCAGAATATTAAATTGTCAGCTAGACAGTTGTATCTTTAAATATTGGTTTTTATTATTTGAGCTTTGTGGTGAACATATTCGCTTCACTTCATAAACCAAGATACTTCCCAGGCATTCATCTCTTTTCCTTTTTGGACACAAGCCTTCGTGGTTGGGAAGACTCCTCTGGAATACCCACATGTGGCAGCTACAGCCTGTAGAAAGTTGTCTGCCCAGGAAGACCCTCTGCTTTGTAAATCCATAACCTGAGGCAGTCATAAGGGGCTGCACACAGAGTGATTGGTTAATAACCAGTGTACCAAGTGCTCAGTGAGAAAAGCTTTCTAATTATTTCCAGTATATCTTTAGACTATTACTAAGCATCATTACGAACCAATAATTTTCCATTCATTCGTGTACTGAGCACCTGCTTTGTATCAGGCACTGCTGCTAGGTGCTGGGACTACAAAGATAAAAGATACATTCCTTCCTATTACAGAACTCAAAATATATTACAGGCAACAAAAAAAGTAAAGAGATGTTACAATGTGATGTATGCTGTGATAGGTTGGATGGTGCGACCATATTAAAGTAGAGAAACTAATCCTGCCTGTGAGAAGTGAACACCGACCTGGGTCTTGAACGGAGTGTGTGCGTTAGCCAGGTTAAAGAGTCAGGGTGTGCGTGGGTGGGAAGAGCATCCTAGGCAAGGGGAAAAGTACAGATGTGGAACAGTCAGCAAGTATGGCACGTCCTGGCGTTGTAAACAAGATGGTGCAGATGGAACATAGGTTGCAAATGGAAAGCGTTGAAAGATGAGATACTCCAGGGGAGCAGGGGACAGATGATAAAGGGTTTTGAATATCACAATGAATTTTGACTATTGAGTAGCCACTGGAGGATTTTTAAGCAGGAGGGCAAAATGATTTAATTTACAAGTATCTCCCTGGAGGAAGTGTAGAGTATATATAGATTGGGGGCAGTGGGAATAGATATGAAGACACCAGTTAAAAGACTAGAAATACTGGGGACTGAAGTGAGAACATGGTGAGGATGAAAGAAGGTGGCACCAGGAGCATCAGTGGGTAAGTAGAGGATGAAAGAACGAGGCCTGGGATTGTGGCTCGATTTCTGGCTTGGCCCACCAAGTGGAAGATGATCACCCTGCAGAGATGGGAACTAGAGGAGGAGGAGGAGGAAGCTTGTACAGGAAGAACTAAGTTTGTACATACTGAAAATCTAATACTTAATGGGACAACAAAGTGAATATCTTCAAGCAGTAATTGGGTGTATATATCTGGGGCAGAGGGAGGTGATCTGAGCCAAAGAGCGGGTGGGTGTGTATCCAATAGCTCAAGAAAAGCATAACGGGTAGGAAGAGTCATGAGAACGGAACGCAAGAGATGTCAACATTGAAGTGTAGGGGGTGAGGAGGGACCTTGAAGACAATGGCACATGGCTGAGGGATGAAGAAAAACAGCAGAGTGAAATCCCAGAAGTGAGAATGAAGGACGGAGCTAACAGCTATGGAAATATCCTGTAATGTGAAGACTGGAAAGCTCCCAGTGAGTTTCGTAACAGTGGGGGTTGGATGGCCGAGCATGAGGGTGACTGAGAGAGAGATGGGTAAGTGAAGATTGTGAGTTTTATAGACTCTTTTCAAGAACTTGGTGGAGAGAAGGTGGGCAAGTAGACAGTAGCTAAAGGAGCGTAAAGGAAGAGAGAGGGTTTCTTATGTTTTTAATAAGAGAAATTTAAGAGAGAAGCCTGTTGCAAAGGAGAGATTGAAGATATAGGAAAGGAATAAATACAACAAGAACGGCTTAGCCCGGCGTAAGTGAATGGGTATCTCTTCCTCTGAAAAGAAGGAAAAGAGTTAAAACTGGTGTGAATATAGCTAACTTGTGAGGAGGGTTGGAAATACAGGAATTCTCTGTACAGTAGAATGTGAGATGACCTGCTGAAATGACAGCTTATTCTCTCAGAGGATAGGGAAATAAGAACAGAAAGTTGGGAGCAAGGAAAGCAATGGTGATCATACTAAAATACGGTGCTTCATTAATGATCAGTAATACAGTGGTATGTGTGTGTGCCCATGTGTGTGTAAGGGTGAGATTTTTTGTTTGATTTTTTTTCATTTGTTTTAGGTTTGATTTATGAAATACCTTTAACAATTTAAGTATAGCTTTCATTGAGTGTGGGCTGTTATTTTGACTGACATTATTATATATATACTGCAACTGTAATATGGTGGCTCTTGTGTGTAAATGTAGGCCCACGTGAGGATGTGACTCATATCATGATTAAACGTATTCTGAATTGCACTTCTTTTGGTCTGGACAGGACTACCTTGAACTTAAAAGAATGGTTTTTCCACGATTTTACTTTCTTAGCAATGCTGAACTTCTTGACATTCTAGCTAAGAGCAGAAACCCGGAGTCTGTACAGGTAACATCATTCTTTGCTCAGCAATATTATTTCCCAACCAAGTCAGAATGTTACAGTGTTCCTGACATTTGTTTCTGGCCCACAGCCTTATCTTGTGAAATGTTTTGAAAATATAAAACAATTACTGATATGGAAACAAGAACTTGGCCCTGCGAGTGTGATCATGTTTGTATCTGCCGAAGGAGAAGCCCTTGTGCTGCCAAAGTATGTTATCTATGGTACAAGCTAAGCATTTCGACTCTAAAATTTTATGTAAAAGCTCTGCTTGGAAATTTCTGATATTTCATAGAAGTTTTGAAGCAAACTATTTCTTTAAAGATAATGTACTCATACAGAATTTTATCTTTCTGTATCTTTATTAATAGTATTCCAAAAGCCAACACAAGGTGTTGTCTTTTGAACATAGATAGGAAGGAAATTTGCTATTTGCTTGATTGAGGTTGTTGATGCTACTCCCACTTGTTGCCTCACCTGACCTGCAGTTTTGTCATGAATGACCCGCAGGCAGTTTTAATAAGCCAGGCCCTTCCATTACACTGGTCCAGCTGGCTAGCCCAGGCAAGAGCTCGCTAACATTGGGCATATAACTCCCGATGTGAGTTGATTACAAAAATGTAGTGCCTAAGTTTTTCCATCCACCAAAACCCCTAACTTGGCCCTGACCTAGGCTTACTGTTTTAAAAGATCCAATGAGGACTCAAACAGTGCTTCGTGATATAATTTCTCTATTTTGTAAACTCATGGTTTTGATGCCAGAATTCCCTAAAGCTAGGTGATATGTTTTCTGCGTAGTTTTCCAAATTAAGATCCAGAAAAACCAAAGGAGGGTTGGCCAAGTGGCTCAGTTGGTTAAGAGCTCGCTCAAGAGTGTGAGCTCTGAGCAACAGGGTCGCCAGTTCGATTCCCACATGGGCCCGAGCTGAGCTGCCGCTGAGCTGCCAACAGGTGACAAGATGGCTCAGCTAAAAACAAAACAAACCCCAGAAAAACCAAAAGATATTATAGAATTATAGTTCCTTTGGCCCATGAGTATTAGAAATATAGAAACAGTGTACAGGCTTATCAAAGGAATGAAACATTAATAAAAATAATTCTTCATATATTATTTTTGAAAATATAGGAAAATTCGTGTAAGAAGTGCTGTAGAACAGTGGCTGGATACTGTAGAGAAAAGCATGTTTAATGTACTAAAAAAGTAAGTACAATGTTCAAATCCTAAAACTATTATATGTATATATGTATTAGGTTGTCGGAAGAGTCATGACGTATTTTTTTCTGTGTTCTTCGTTGCAAAAATGTGTCATGACTTTTCCGACAACCCAATATTTTTAAAACTTGGTTATCTACTAATCTTAAGTGGTAAGTATCCAGAGAAATATATGGAGTGAAAGTCCTCATGACATGGGTTTTGATAAAACATGATGGCAAAAGAATTATTTTTACAGTGTAAACGTCAGTCTGAGAGAGTAATCATGGACAACATTCAGTTATGTGCGCCCTGAGATTCCTAAGTGTCTGAGAACCGGCTGCATTGGCCGCTTTCCGAAGACGAAGTGCCCACGGGGCCTTCGGCGGCCGCCCACATCACAGCTTCGCGTTTCTGTCCCACTTTGGCTTCCTGGAACTGTTTACGTGGTTTGGTCTTTTTCATGTTCTCCTTTTTATGCTTTAATCTATCATTGCTGTCTGTTTAGAGTGAAGAAAGAGCCTAAAGACTATGAACTTTGAAAACTAATTTGACTAGAATGGTCTCCTACATTTCTAAGTGTTTACATTTCTAACCATTTCTATGTGGTTATATAGAATGGCTACTGGTCTTGAAGTTTTAAAATCTGTATTTATTAATATTATCCTGAATGCCAACACAAGGTTTCTAGAGCAGATTATTGTTTACTTACACAAAGAACCAAATTTCCTTTGCTCCAGTTCTCACCCTTGGGGTGATGTGATAAGCACAAGATGTCATCTTACATGTGAGGGGGTTACTTCTATGGGCAAGGAACCCTGAAAAATGCATCTGGGCATTTGAGACAAGCAGATTTTCAGGGTTGCTCTGGGATTTTTCCGGTTAGACAATTTTGGCATTTGCTCATGATAATCGTGTCTCTTTCTTTACAATTCTTTTTAAAATGTCATTTTCTTTTCATGTTGTTCAGGGTGACAAATTTTCTACAATGTTGAAAAGTACAGGTGACAGTGAGCATCCTTCTTTTGTCCCTAATTTTATTGGGAAAGCTTCTGATGCCTCACCATTTGTTATGATGCTTAGGTTTCTGGAATATAGTCCTTATCAAAGTAGAATTTTCTATTCCTAGTTTGCAAAGTTTTTAATAATTAAAGGATGTTTGATTACATCAAATGATTTTTATGAATCTACTGAGAAACTCAAATACAGTTTCATTTTTAATTTGTGGCTATCATGAATTACATTAATAAATTTCTTTATGTTGAACTTTCCTTGATTTTCTTATTCACTTTTTGGTCTATTTTATTTTCTAGAAAACTGTATAAACATTTCCTACTTTTTTGTGAATTTGTCAATTTCTTTCTTTATTTCTATCACTTATTTCTAACATCTATTATATATTTTGATGCTATATTGTTATACATAAGTCTTAGTAGAGTATACCCTTAGTACATCAGTATTTTTATACCAGTTAATATTTTTATTAAATGCTATTTGTTTAATATAAATAACTCATCACTCCTGTTTCCATGATCACAAACATTTTTATCATAATGTTATTTTTATTTTTTTTTTAAGATTTTTATTGGGGAATTGGGGGATGGGAACAGCGCTGGGGAATTGGGGGAAGGGAAACAGACAAGTTGCTGTCTTTTTGTTCTTCAGTCTAGTTGT